TTATTGATTAAGTTCATTCTTTTGTGAATGAGAGCTGCTACAGCTCATTTCGCAAGAATAAAAACACTTTTTTAGAGACGTATTGTTATTTCCTTTTAGAAAGGAATGTTATCAAAAGATACAAATATTAGGGAAGAGTATACTAAAAAATAAATCTTGTTATTAATTGAAATTATGATAAATTCAATTAGACTTAAAATACAACTCATACTCTTAATTTAATAAAATATTATATATAGAGATAATAAAAAATACGATTATCAGAATTCTAATTCATATGATCATGAATTTGTTTTGTTTGTACTTCTTGTTGGTACAATCAAAACATATTTTTCAGTATATCATAGGATGGATATGAATAAATATGCATTTATACCATTTACATACATTATTTGCAGATGCGTTATGATGTTTACAAAATTCCTCAAAATAAGATGCATATAAAGAAACGCCTTGATTCTTTGGCACTTTCGGTGGAAAGTCCTTGCTGTGAAGCAAATTCGGTGGAATGTTCGCTTATTGTAAATGTCCAACGTGTGAATTGTGTGTAATCAATAAACAAGGACGCATCTATGTAAAACGTATACATTTGCAATACAATTGAGAGGGGGAGAGGAGAGAGAGATATGTTCAATGTCCACACAACGTGTCGTAATGTAACGTTAGTTTTATGAACATTCCGCGGTAACCGATATGACGTTTATAGTCGTGTAACTGTTTTTTTTCTTAATGCTGCGTATTCGAATAAATTTGTTATTTGATTGTAATGTAATAAGTATGGTAATTCTTTTTAGATTGTTATCATCTTGCATATTGATGAACTAATTGAATAAAATATTATGTGATTTTGAATTCGTTCCATATGAAATAAACGTTGAAATATTATTCGCTTTTAGCGGACGGAATGATTTAAGATGCGATTTATTTGTTCGGTAATTAATAATAATCATACCCAACGATTTTGGTTGAATTAAATAGAGATTGAATTGTGAACTACTGAAAAGAACAGACGATTTTTTGTTCAAGCGTGAATAAATCATTAATTTATTGTATTTTAGTTATCTCTTCATGATGCATAAAATCAACGACTGAGCGGTTGGCAAGTAGCTATAATGAAGATACACAAGTACCTACGTATTCGACCCTCCCTGCCCATCCGTTAATTGCCTTCACAACAAGACGTTGTAAATCACAATGGAAGATGTAAAGATACTTACACGATAGGTTGACACCGCCGATCATTATCGCGTTTCGTAATACGATTTCGTGCTTGCGCGCACAACACGAGATTTCTGCTTAAGAGCGTTCTCTAATTACCATGCGTCTCGCATGTGGTGCTATGCAACAGGATCAACTATATCTGGCTATCATCTATCTGACCGTCAAACCGGTTCGGGTTTGGATTTGATAGTAAAGTGAAACGTACTTAACTTAGACCTTGCGTAACGAGCGTAAATTGTGTCATTATCACGTAAGCCTGTTTAAATATTGTACAACCCACAAGAAAATTTAGTTACACGGATGTAAAACGAAGAAGTTTGAATACAAGGTTAACGCCCAAACGCAGAGAGAGCTCTTGCAAATAAATTAACGATACGAATCACTCTCTCTTTGACTACTGCTTATTAAACACCAACTGAGCGCAACATAACATTAATGTTATAATTTCATACTCAACAATATAACACATGTTGTACGTAACAGTTTACATTGCTGAGTTTAATGAGATTATCAGAATTGGAAAATAACTAATTACGTGTGACGAAGTTATAATTAGAGTTACTTTTTTCAGTAACTATAATTTAACTTTGTGTTTCTCTCTTTTCTCATTTATAACTGTAACTCAACCTATAATTAGTTATATGTTTTTGATCATCAATTGACTATTATATAATTTAATAATTACTTTGTATCAAATCTTTTGTTCTTTAATATTGAGTTGACCAAAATAAAACTTAATAAACAATCAGTAATTATTGCTTGGAATATATCTTTATCCTCGATCAAATCATCACACTCTTTAATGTTTATATTAAGAATTGAGCTTTTAATGTTTGATTGCATTTTAATATTGTTCCCATTATTTTTATTCCAAGTATAATATAGCATACAATTGAATGTTTAGTACAATAATAATATAATTTACTAGCGTTAAGAATGTATAAAATTTTTGTATTTAAAATAGTAATGCACAAAATTAACGAAAAATTAATTATAACTGTAATTTGTTACTTTTTAAAATAACTTGCAACACAAACGCACATACACGCAACAACTGTATAATAACTTATTAAGAAAAAAAAAACTACAACTGTAACTAATTATTTTTGCAAAATAACTTCCCCAATCCTGGAAATAATAGCTGTATTAATGTTATGTTTTTAGTTGAGTTTACTGGGCGTACACTGTACATCTATGCGTGTCGCATTTTATAGCAGATTGCCACAATCGATCCGGGCAGGTAAACCGCAATTGCTAAGTGATTCCGTTCGCACGGAGACCGCCGCGCTGCGTCCCGATTTCGACATCGACGCGACGTCGGCTCGTACTCTCTGTGGATGTCCGGCTCTATTTTTTAGTTCGATTGCCTCATACTACCGCGAGAAAATGTCATCGTATCCTCAATGGAACAATGGAATCCGGGTCGATTATCTGCTGCCATGGAAAGACCGGCAGGCAATGAGGATGCTCGAAATCGTGCGAGCTCGCGAATAAGTGATAATCGATAGCTGTAATAAAATTCAAAGTATAATATATCGAAGACTTAGAAATACAAACCGTATCGTTAAGGTATTATGTTAATTGTCATATTAACGTGTAAGCATTTAACCAATACAGAGAGTATATAATACGACGCACCCGTGATGCAATCACGATAATCATGCAACACTACTTTCTATTCGAACATCTACGCTTTTGAAATTTGATTTATATTCTATATTTAATCTAGCAGGTACCCTACAAAAATAATTGCATCATCGGTGTTTATCAGATTCTGATCAATTCTTTCGATATTTTACAATAAAATACTACATGAAAAAAAATATTTTTGTTAAAATATCTTTTGTTAAAAATTAAACTAGACAGATTTGAAAATAAATTTAGTAAACTATTAAAATAATTATTAATAGAATATTAAAGCTAGTTGCTAGAATGTCAAAGATGTTTTTGCTTGTTTTTCCTTTTGGTCATAATATTTAAATATCCTACATAATTATTTTAACGATACAACAAAATTATTTTCAGATCTGTATCTTACTAAGTTTTTAGTTATTATATTGCAGCAAAATTATTTTTTTCGCATATTATAATTAGTTATAATTATAAAGTAATTAAAATATAATGAGAAAGTAAAAGGCTAATAAGATTCAAACATCTATAATTACAAAAAGCGTTGGATAATGAATCAACGCTAATAACATGTTTCGGCTTTGGGTTTCGGCCCTCTTCAGATGTATAATAATGTATCGAACGCATATTACAGCCAGTGTGTAAATAAAATTAAATATGTAAATACAAGACTCTTAGTATTCAAAATATAATGAGAAGGTAAAAGGCTAATAAGAGCCAAATATCTATAATTACAAAAAGCGTTGATTCAATATCCAACACTTTTTGTAATTATAGATGTTTGGCTCTTATTAGCCTTTTACCTTCTCATTATATTTTGAATACTAAGAGTCCTGTATTTATATATTTAATTTTATTTACACGCTGGCTGTAATATGCATTCGACAAATTATTATTGAGAACCGAAACCCAAGGCCTACACATGTCATCAACGTTGATTCAATATCAAACGCTTTTTGTAATTATGGATGTTTGACTCTTATTAGCCTTTTACCTTCTCATTATATTTTGAATATTAAGAGTCCTATATATTTATATATTTAATAAAATAATTATCCTTGACATGCTGTAAATTGTTAAGAAGTTCTTTTTCAAGTTGATTAATTATGCATGGTACCGGTTTAAGATTAATCTGGGAATACTCCGGGAGATTTGTACATTAAATTTCGCTATAATTATATACAGCGTAATATCATTCGATACAGATCAATGACCTTATATATCATCCAATTCAATTTTGTTTAATTATTTCATTAGCTTATTAGCTACAAGATCAATTTTCAGTTATCGAATAATAATTTTATGTTATAAACGCGAAGCTTTTTGAATACTTCGCATAAGACGGAAAAAAGAATTTTGTCAAAATATTTAAAAATTTACAGATCTACAAATAATTTTATTAGACCATCAAAATGCTTCTGTAACAAGCTTAAACTTGGTATAGAATATTAAAATTTTATTTGCACAATTGTTCATTATGTTTGAGCGTTCTATATAATTATTGTTGACAGTCCAAAATTATTTTCAGATCTAACCAAAATTTTAGATACTAAAAATTATTCTTTCCATGTAGGAGAGAAAGAAGTAGAGAAGAAAACAAAAAAAACATCGAATTGAAAAATCAGTTTAATCTGCATCATACAGATTGCATTATTGAACATTGCGAGGTAGATCGAGTCACATTTCAGATACATCAGCGTTTTCTATATAATACCCACTATAGAATTATGCCGACTGACTGAATCGTACATCGACCTTTCTCGAAAATTTCGCTTTGATTCTAAATTGCGTCATCGTTTGCGAACAAGCACGCCGGGAGGTATCTTAATAGCGCTCTCGCATTATCATGTCAATGTCAGGCGAACGTAGCTTTTACGTTGATAAAGTTCCTCGCTCGTGTTTGAACACAAGGCACGTAGCCAGCGATTTACGTGAATCCCCCCGGTGATGTACTAATTCATGAGAAAGAGAGAAGCCCCGAGAGAGAGAAAGGCCTTCGATTTTTTGCAAGTTTTTCTTTGCTTTCGCACGACTTAATACAAATCAAGGGTAAACTTCCTTAATACTGCTTAATACGCGAATATCCGACATTCCCAGATATTGAAAGGCATTGAAAGAATTCCTCGCATTAAAAGGATCTTCTTTTCCAGAGGACTTCCCCGAGAAAATCGATTTCGAGGCACGCAGATTATTGCAAATCCTTCCTCCTTACGATCCCGGTGCGGGAGGTGTCAGCGCGGAATGCAAACGACATGCCGATATCTTCCACGAAGAGCTCGCCAAGTTCACATTGTGGGCACTCAAAAGTAAGTTGAGCATACTGATCAATCATGAGTATATTCAGGATTTTTTTTCCGAGAGAAAAGATTTACCTATCAATTTTATTATCACATAAACAGCAATTTTTCACGCTAATAAATTATTTCTTTGGATATTTTAGAGCTTAGAGTGCTCTTTCTTGTTCTTAATTTTGAATGGGAAAATATTGAATTTTGTGAATCATAACTTTTAATTCGGAAGGGAAGAAGTTTTGAAAGTCCCTAAAGCCTTCTCCTGCCTGAATGTGCCTATATCTACGAGTAAGTCCAACGAATAAGTGTGGTACACACACATTCGAAATCATGATTCATATAAAGCAAACTAAAGATAGCACTACGTAATCTGGAATCAAATTATATCACGATGGTAATTACGGAAACCTCGTTTCGTGAAGTTCTCCTTCGGAACGATTGCGAGAACGGAACTTGGAACGTGTCTTTATCGATCCTTGAACACGAATTGACCGAAAATAAACGACGAACGAATTTATATTTAATGATCTTTCATAAGCGACTTGAATGATTGTAGTACATCACATTTTATTCTTAGACGAGGATTAATACTTCATTATTATACTTCGTTATTATTCTGTACGTGATACGAGAGATTTTACAACGATTTCAAGATATTGCGGTCGTCGCAAAATCCTTTTTTTTTTGTGTCCGAATTCTCATTGCGTCTGTACACGTCAGTGTGGAATTTTTTATATATTACGAACGACCTGTCACGCGGACATTATTATTATCACATCGCAACTTCCAAATATAGATAAATAATATTCGATATTCTAAATTTTTCATCGAGTTTACTTAATCTTCTGGAGCTGCTCGAGCCGCACAATGAAAGAAATATTAGAAACAAATATAAATATTAAATATTAAAGCTGGGACGAAACGCCATAATTACGTGATATTCTTCGCAATATATTAAATTAATTTAAAAAGATTTTTAATTTAATTTATTGACTCCCATTGCCCTGTTTCTCTATATTAGTCGTTTAAAAACATATTGAGCCTTATTACAAACATTTAAATATTAAAAACTCAAAATTAAGAATAGACATTAAACGCAATGCGAATAATATCGTAGATAGAAATATAACTAATTCCAGTTGAAATTTGTTTATTTCTTTAAAATTTAATTCTTTCCCTGCAAAATCTGGGAAAATTGAATTGTTTAACATTTTTGACGCAGAGATTTGTAATTAAGTAGGTCCAATAAACTCACCTTCAATTCTGAGTTAATGTTATGGACATTGTAAAGATTATTCTCACAGTCGCAGAGGATAGGTCCCACCTTTCATTTTTTGTAATATTGATCGCTTTTAACGTTTTAGTGTATGACGCGACCGCGAAAGTGCCTTCCGGACTGCTGAGCGGGAACGTTAATCAATTCGGCGACTTCGACGAGTGCGTCGGTGTCGAGGGCAAGGATGGCATTCGGGGACAGTATTGTCTGGCATATTTGCAGCTGGACGTCGATCAGTCCCGGCCGGACCTCAAATACCTACATCGCCTGCTGCATTCGCATTACGCGTTTCGCAGCAACATGACCGACGTAAGTGTACAATGCGCGCATTTTCGCGATGCACCATGCGAACCAATTAATGTGATCGGTGTCGTTTCGCAATCAATCACCGCATCTCATGGCGATATCTCACGTTCGCGAGCGGAATGACTGGTCGCACGTAGAATATAAAAATCGTGCGCTTAAGTTGTTCACCATTTACTCGCTGTCCCGCAACATGACGCGAGATTACGATAATACAGGCGGCTCGTACACGAGAGTCTAGCTATTTTGAGAACATTTTTCGCGGAATTACCATTTTTCTTTTTTTTTTTTTTTTTTTCAAACAGATTGGATTAACGAATAAAATTAATTAATGAAAAATTTATTCGCGACGAAGTTAATTCGAAAAATCGGATGTAGAAATCGAAACGAGTGAAAAATATTTCTATATCGGTATTTCCCCACGAACATAATGCTCCCGGCATTTTAACCATTCAGCGGATCATCGTTGGCGCGCACACATTTAATCCCTGATGAATATGTAAATAGACTCGTGAATCCTGTGCTGCAGGATTCATAATGTAAATCTACGAAGTCGAGGGACATTGGCGACCGGATGTAGATAAAAGACGCTATTCGCGATTCTGACAGGTGACACAGGTTGAATTTTAATAGAATAAAACGGGGGACCGTGTAAAAAAACAACAGTTACTCCGAAAGAAATGCTCAAGTCTCCTGGTAGAATATCTTTGATAGTTCTCTAGAGATTCCAGTTAAATTTAGAAATGAGAAATTTGTTTCACAAACTTCTAAAAAAATACACGTCACAGAAACCTTATAATATTATTTGTTGCGATATATATTTACGGATAATCTCAAAGCATAAATAAAAATTAATTTATTTCGACACATAAGACAAGAAAAAAAATCACATAATTCCTCGCTTTTAACGTCATAATTCGATGACTGTTGAGGAAAAAAGCAGCCTTAATTGAGGCTCTAAAATAAACGTAAAACAAATCGCATAGGAATGTGGATTGATGAACCATCCAGGAAATTTGTTTTGCTCAGAGATTGACAATCTGATTACATAATAATAGCAGACAATAATATGCGACACGTGAAGTTAGAACAATCGTCTGTAATGTTGCGTATCGCATATCAAATTGATGCTAATGTTTATCATTCGGTACTGTTGACGCTGCTCACAGTGAGACCCAAGAGCATTAATTATGGTTACTTGACTGAGCAAATGCATCAATTATTTTCTGAATTGCTTGTTTCACCTTCATGGAAACGTGGAAATATGATTTATAAAACGTCTGTTATCTCTTTTATTCGCGTCTTTCATAATCGAATGCTTCTAATAGACTTCCGTAACTCTCAAAAGCACCTGTGCGACGAGTATATTGTAACTCATCGCACCGACCGACGCGACGGTCACTTATTATGAAAGATTTCATGGAAGATCATCTCAGGAAAAAACATATTATCGTATCAGTTATGCATAATCGATATAATACACATGTCAGATTTCCCCAATGTTTCTTCATTTCTACATTTTTTCCCAGTATACTATAAATATTTATTAAACGATACATAATAGCAATTTTTTACGGACACTCACGGACGCGCTCCTCTGTAAAAAAAAATTACGGAAAATAGGCGAGAAATTGCGTAACAGGATTAATTTTGCATTGCGAATAGAGAGAGAGAGAATATTATGGTAATTCTCAAGAACGTAATTTATCAGCTCGTCTTTTTGGCGAGATTTATATCGTTCTAATTAATCTTTTCAGCAATGATATGACATTGAAATTCGCAGGTCTGTGGTACAGATTAATCTTTTTGTCAGCATAATCTAACGATTTCAATTTCTACATTAAATTTCGCTAAAACAATTATTAAATTTCTATTCAATTCTATATAATGCAATATTACAGGTTATAAAAGTTTTTGTATTTTCAGCCCGGTCACAGAGTGCCGCGTTATAGCCACGTAAATTGGGCCATATGCACACCCGCATCATGCACAGCCCAGGATGTTAAAGCTTCTCTGCAACATACCATCTCAAAGTACACAGCACAGACTGGTCTTAAGATCTCGCTGCAAGTGGACCAGAACATGTGCCAAGTAAGGCCGGAACTCGTTCTGTCAAAAGCGATTGTCGCCACCAGGTAAAGATACTATATACTTGCTTGATTCATGTCTTAATGTTGTATTATATTAATATCATTTTAATAATATATTAATATAACAATACTTTTTAATATATTATATATAATAAAATACTTTATTTAAAATATTTATATCATACAATTAGTTTTTCAACAATAATTTCTTAAGATATTGTATTATAAAATAGGAACGAATTAATCTATTCAGTCATAATAATATGCATCATTATCGATTTTTGCAATACACTTTCACAAATCGTTAGAATTCTCTACTTTTTTGAACGGAACATTTACTACAAACCTTCGCGAAACTAAAAACTAGTAAATTAAACAATTGAATATAACAATTTGTATCAATTGAATAAACAGTCAAACAATGTAAAAAGGTGGCTCAATGGTAAATAAACATAAATATGTAGAAATGAGCATACAAACATAACGCAAGATGTCATATATTTAAAAAAGAGGAAAGTATTTTACTCAATACTTTTCTCTTTTTTAAATATATGGCTTTTGCGAATGACGTCTTGCGTTGTGGCTGTATGCTCATTTCTAAAAAAGAGAAAAGTATTGAGTAAAATACTTTTCTCCTTTTTAAATATATGACTTTTGCGAATGACACGTTGCGTTGTGACTGTATGCTCATTTCTATTTACATTTATCAATTGAATAATTTTCACGTTGTTCTTTTCAGTCTCCTCTTTGTCACCGTGTCCGTTCTGACACTTGTAGCCGCATTCTACGATCATTGCAAAATACCGGCTAGCGAATTGCTTTTATCGTTCTCTTTGAAGCGCAACATCCTGAAATTATTCTCGTTGGAAAGACCGCAAGGCGACATAGCGTCGCTTCACGGTATCCGATTCTTGAACAGCGCTTTATTGCTCGTATCTCACAAAAGCATGGCAGTATTCTTTATCCCATACGTAAACCGAACTTACATGAGCGAGGTACGTTGTAAATTATTCATTTTCAAATATAAATTCATGAATATATAAGTCGAGAAACTCAAACTCAAAATATATTCGTATTCGACTTCTTTTTTTTCTCTTCCTCACAGATAAAATAAACTTTGGAAATTGTAATCTTTAAGTTTTTCTATAATATAATCTTGTTATAAAAATATGAAGAACGTATATGTATATATCATTGAAATATAATTTTATTTTACGAATATTAGACTTTTTTATCATGTGAATAAAATTTCACATCCACTGTATTGTGATTAATCAAACTTAATTTTTATCACATATAGGTGCATATTGCTTGGAAATAAACGATAATTTTTCAACGTAGTTTTTAGGTAAACCATGGACCGTCTTAGGAAGAGTGGCTAGTCTGTACACTGATCCGTTCATCATGCTATCCGGTTTGTTAACGACATATTCGTTTATCGGTAGATTGAAAAGATCTGGAGCTTTAGACATCAAAAATGAATATCTGTCACGTTTGCTAAGGTACTGATATATAGTCTTAATCGAATAAATGAAACAAGAAAAATAGTTTTCTTTCAATACGCACGATGATTTCAGGCTAGTGCCTACTTTAGGAGCGCTGATACTGTTCTGTACTTACATTATGCCGTACATTGGATCTGGACCACAGTGGCCGCTGGTGGTGACCAATCACGCGGAAATCTGTAAGAGAACATGGTGGCGGAATTTTTTATTTATTCATAATTATTTCGGATTTGAGAATATGGTAGGTATAAAAGTTTACGTACAAAATAAAGAGAGAGAGAGAGAGA